TTTTATTTGACTTATTTTTGTTTTTCAATTTTTTAATTCAAAAATTTATGACTTTATTATTTTTATTTTGAATTATTTTAAATGCAACATTGGTATTTTATTTATTATTATTTTAAGTTTTAAAAATTTAAATGATGAAAAATTCTAAAGTTAGAGAAGATGGGTATCAAACCCAATCTCCCTCCATGTTCTATTCAAGATGTGTCTGACACTAGATCAGCTTGTTCAATGCGATATATTTTACTATTTAACTAAAATTTTTTTTGGAATAATCAGGTATTAAATTTTTTTTCCGCAAATAACCATGTTTCAGATGACTCCTCAAAGGAGGAACCATCTCACTTAGCGCCTACACCTACCTTTTAAGGGGAGGCGCCATCTCACTTGGCGCCTAGGTGCTTAAGGCTTGCCCTAAGCCAAGTGAGATGGCGCCTTACTGCATTTGATAGGGCAATTTTCGCGTTTTTTTTCTTCAATCAGGTGCGTTATGTATTCGATATAGGATCAACAAAATTGACTTTTTATTTACAAAAAATGATTACACACATAATTATTACATAAAAAAATAGATTAAATAAAAAAAACAGATTAATCAGTGGTCCCCCAGAACCCAGTAATGACCTCCGGTTCCGCATCTCAGTCCTCGCCTTTCCTGTGCTGGGTGTCGTCGCATTTCCTGCTATGGAAGGATCGATGGCCCAGCGAAGTCAATGCATTCCGGGTCCATGAAATCAGTCAGATCTCCATATCTAGAAGATCCTCTTTGGTATAGTCGGTTACCCATACCCTCAAAGTTTGGTCGTGTTGGCGGTGGGTGGGGTTCCATGGTTGGTCTGTAGCATTGATCGTCTGAATACGGGGGGTAGAAAGGAAATGGATCTTGGGGTGTTTGGTATTGAGGATGTTTGGTGGTTTGGTGATACTGTGGTTGATGGTAAGTTGAGTCAGTTGGTTCATAATCTTCCGACATTCCCAGATCAGGGCTAAGGTTGGACGTTGAGGGGCCCATATTGGGATATACAGAAGACTGAAATTGTGTGTGGGGTATGCGGGTGTGTTGGTATTATGATTGAAATTGCGGTTGGGTGTGAGGCATATGAGGATATTGGTACTGAGGTGGTGATTGTGGTTGGTTGTGGCACATTTGGGTGTAATTGTATTGTGGTGGCGACTGTGGTTGGGTGTTTGTGGTTCTGTTTCGTCTGGGGGGTTAGTGGGAGGTTGATGTGTGTTGGGTTTGTTGTTGGGGAAATGAGGGCTGTGTCCATTGTGTTCGTGGGTCAACCAAATACCTTGGATGAGACACGTGCATTTTAGGGTTACTAACCGACCTGTACCAAGATAAATACTGATTAGTGTGTCGCATATTACCATGATTGAGGAAAACTGGGAATTACAAGACATGTCGGTGACGCCTCTGCCACATCTTACACCATTCTAGAGCAAAGTCTTTTCAGTTGGTAAGACCCCATTGGGCGTCGACCCTTTTGAGATGCCACGGGGACAAACAAGTCGAATCGTTGGGTATCTCTTGATGTATTCTGAACTGCATCTTCACACGGTCGTTGTGGTGCATCTCCACAACATTGAACCGTATGATTGCAGTCTTGGAGCTCCAAATTGCTGCATCCTTGGGGTTTGGTTCATGGCCCAAACCCAAATATAGTTTCCAGACAAACTGCGCATAAAATTAAATCAGGTTAATGAAAACATAATATATAAATAATTTAAAAGTAGAAAAGTTGAAAGGTACGGCGTACATCATCCGGGCCTAGGTGATCCAATAGATTGCGGTATAGTGCGATATTGAATCTTGGATTCTTGCCGTAATCCATACCCCTCACGCAATACCTAAAAGGAAATGAAAAATATTATATTTGTATCATATATTTGGTGAAAAGATGAATAGTAATAAATGATATAACTTAATTACGATCTCATTTGTCAAGAAATCCTACCACTCGTTAGCAACGATCCATCTTTGAAGGTGAAAACCATCATCTTCCACATCACTACGGTTTTTAACTATACTCCGTCTTACCGTAAGGCATGGTTAGCAAAGACCAAGGCGATTGAAAAGGTATACAGAAACAGGGAAGAGTCATGCCAAGAACTTCCTCGCTACCTGAATGCACTCCAGACTTATTCTCCAGGTAGTGTTTACATTCTGGAAACAGTGCCAGCATACGCCCCGGATGGTAGTTAACTGAACGGAAATGGAATATTCAGTCGAGTGTTTTGGGAATTTCAACTTTGCATCACAGGGTTTGTATCATGCAAACAAATTATACAAATTGATGAGACTTGGTTGTAGGGGAAATACAAAGGCACGCTACTGATGGCAGTTGCACAAGATGGCAACAACAACATTTTGCCAATTACCTTTTCCCTAGTCGACGGGGAGACTGGTGTTGCTTGGAGCTTTTTTCTGAAAAATCTGCAAACACACGTGGCTCCTCAACCAGATCACTATTTGATCTCGGATAGACATGTATCCCTTGAAAGTGCATACAATAATCCTGCAAACGGTTGGCATGACCCTCCTTCTACGCATGTCTATTGCGTTAGACATATCGTCCAAAATTTCACGAGGGAGATCTAAGACAAAACACTAAGGAAAGCGGTTATGAATGCGGGTTGTACATTGAAACAACCCACATTCAAATATTACCGCAACGAGATCCATTTGTCAAATCCGGAAGCCGGTAGGTGGATCGACAATATTCCGGTAGAAAAATGGACTAGGTCATACGACAATGGCCAAAGATGGGGGCACATGACAACAAATCTAATTGAGTCTATGAATAGGGTATTCAAAGGCATACGAAACCTCTCAGTCACTGCTTTGGTAAAATATACGTATTTTAGGATGACTTTGTTGTTTGCCAAAAGAGGTGAAATATGGAATATGGTGTTCCAATCTGGACAACTATGGAGTGAAAGCTGCATGAAGTACATTAAGGCAGAAAGTGTCAAATCCAACACCCATATGGTTATACGGTTTTACCGACACAACCACAACTTCATTATGAAAGAGACAATCGACCATAATGAGGGCCTGCCAAGACAAGAATATAGGGTTGTACTACCTTCTCGTTGGTGCGATTGTGGCAAATTTCAAGCCTTTTGTATGCCTTGCTCTCATGTCATTGCCGCGTGTGCCTATACTCATCAAGACGCGCTACAACTTCTGTCACACATTTACAAATCTGAAATGTTGCTCAACGTTTACAACAACAACTTCCCTTTGGTAGCAAAACTAGATTATTAGCCTGCATACGATGGCGAAATAATATGACACAATGACCAAATGCAAAGGAACAAAAAGGGTCGTCCCAAAAGTAAGCGCATCACAACCGAAATGGACTCCCTTGACAAGCTGGAAAGAAAGTGTGGTTTATGTCGTCAGGTCGGACACAATCGCAAAAATTCTCCGAATCGGGCTACTGCCTCAACCACATTAAACTTGTATTACATAAAATCTTTCCTTAATTATGTTATAAACATTAGGGTTTTTCGTTAACAGTATTTGCTACAATAAACATTGTGCGTACAAGAAAAAAAAACACGATATTCCGTCTACGAAATTACAACTGTTAAAAAAATATCATCTGACCCATGCATCATCAACATTATGTCGCTGTCTGTTTTAACTTCCTCCAACCAAATATTAGGTCTTCCTGTCGCATGTGAGGTTGTTGTTCGTCTTTGCTGGATCCTTTGAATTTTCCCCCCTCCACGATGACTCCATCTAGCCATCGCATCAATTTCCGCTTCAGACGCTCCATGGAGTGAATGTGCCAGAATTTCATTTTCATCGTAGGTTTTGTGGCGGAGAAGATAACATAACCATCTCTCGTAAAAATCATGGGCGATGTCATGACGCAAATAACAGAGAAAAAACTAAGAAAACAATGCGAGAAAGTGTGACAAATGACAGAGAAACAAACGGATTATTTATAAAAAACAACATTTTGCCCTACGAGCCAAGTGAGATGGCGCCTCCTCTAACTTTTATAGTACATGCGCCATCTCACTTGGCTAAAAGAGAGAGGAGGCGCCAAGTGAGATGGCGCCTAGGGCTAAATGCTTAGTCGAGGCGCCAAGTGAGATGACACCTCCTTTGGAGAGCCATCTGAAACATGGTTATTTGTGTAATTTTTTCCAAAACGTGGTTATTTGCGAAAAAAAATTTTAATACATGGTTATTCAGAAAAAAAATTCACTTAACTGTATATCTTAAATAATTGTTTGTCATATTTCATATTTTCATTATATAGTTTTGTTTAAACTTTTTTATGTTTAATAATATTATTTATTTTTGAAAATATTATAAAATGGGAATTTTTAAATTTTTTAGATTATTATTAAATTGGAATTTTTTTTATGAAAAATTAATATATATATATATATATATATATATATATATATATATATATATATATATATATATATATATATATATATATATATATATATATATATATATATATATATATATATGTATGTATATATGTATATATGTATGTATAAATAAGGGTTAAACAACATTTAAAATAAGTTATATTAACTCTATTACTATTAAAAGTTATTTTTAATATTGGATCGTTTATTTAACAAATTTATCATTTCTTTAACCAATTTTTTATGATATATTAACCAATTTTATTCCACTATTAAAAACATTCTTTATATACTGTTCATAACAATATTTATGTAACTGTTCAGGATAGTGTTTATTGTTCATGTCACTGTTTATCATATTTATGAACAAGAAATACGATATAGGTGTAAGGGATACTAAAGAAATAGTAAAGTTGATAATTTTTTACTATACCAATTAATTATAATTTGTATATCATTAACAATATTAGACTTTTAACATAATTACTTTTAAAATTAAACATATAATTAGTTATGTTATGCATTTAGAATATCAAACTTTATACACAAACAACTGTATCCAAATAACAGTGAAGATTTATGAACAAGAAATAATATCATACCACTCCAAGCTTGGATTTGATGTCTTTGATGTGATCAGTGGAGAATTCAATCCTTGATATACAAATCGGTTGAAAATCAGCTCCTTCACCACCCGATCTAATAGGTGTTTTATCATCTTCAATAAAGCTACTCTTCAATACACTCCACCCAAAATCCGATGCGGTGTTAAAAACAGATGACATAGTCCATGAAAATTTTCTCCAAAAACTAGTATTTGAAGCTTTTGATTTTGATGGTTTAAGAGAAGGAAAAGATAAAGGAAGAGATGGATTATCAGCACGTTGAAGACAAGAAAGAAGTGCACCCATTAGAGAATAACCATCTCCAAGTGCATGGTGAAGTTTGAATATTATATTGCCCAATGAAGTTTTTGTAGGGTAGTTTATTATGTGAATTTCCCATAATGGTTTTTCTTGTGGTAATGGTTCTATTGCTATGGTTGATAAATAATCATGAAAAGATTTGTCATAGAATTCTAATGATTTTCCTTTGGAGAATATTGGTGTTTTCATATGGTCTTTTAAGTTCACATCAACTTTCTTCCATCTTTTCTTCTCTCTTTTTTCTTGCACCTGTTGACACACACACACACATATATATATATATATATATATATATATATATATATATATATATATATATATATATATATATATATATATATATATATATATATATGAACAAATGAAGTCATATAAATATTATGATGATATGATTTACTAATATAATTAAATTATATGCAATCAATGTTTTTAAAAATAAATAGTACGATTCAAATAATTAATATATTTCAATTAATAAAGTTTTATTCATGAAAACTCGAATTTGGACAGAGATCATATGTCGTCTTTCTCTCGTATGGTTTGTAAAGCGTTGACTCAATGTTGTTTTCAATGATCACAAATTTTCTAACAAATTTTATTAGGGTTATGATTGCCGTAATGAAAGAGATAGAGTTGAATCTTATTTTAGAGACTAGTATAGGAGGTTGAAGACTTATAATATTTTTGGATTAAGTCTTATATATATTCGTCTGGTTTTCTCGTTTGTTGTATTGAAGGGGATGTGAGTACCCCTCGTACTCGGTTAATAAAACTTCATAGTTTAAAAAATCAAAAAGTCTCGTATATATTAAAATGATTGAGAAAGCTAATGTTATAAGATCATACTCATGGAATATTAGGCTCATTGCTTTCTACAAGCCCAAACTCTCCCAAACAATAAGATATGAATGCACAACATATGTATATGAAAATAACAATAGGATATGATTAATGGCCTAATTATATGAAAATTAGAGAAAGAAACTAACCATGATGGAGAAGAAGCGAGGACTAATAGGAAGAAACACATCTTTAAGAAGAGCAAGAGCTTGCAAATCATCAATGGCAACTTCAAATTCTAAAATTGCAATAATATATAAACATAGAGATGTACTATTGAAGTATTGTCCCATAGGACTCACTGGTTCTTCAAAGTGCTCTTCTTTTTCATGTTCCATAATGAAAAAATAATAACAATAATCAAGATTTAAGTTGTGATAAATGGAGAATGGAATTTAATAGTTGAAGTATATATATAGGTAATTCAAATGAAGAAAACATGAAAAGGGATAGAGACGATAAAAACACAAATGATCACATCATAGAGTGTTTTTGAGATAAATTGCAACAACCATGGTGTAATTTAATTACCTTTAAGTTAAATAATATTAAATTAGTAGTTAGTTTTACTTTGATTTTTTTTATAAACAAATATAACTTGTAGTTTTGTTTTGAGCGTCGGTGGAGTTGTTTTTTCTTAAATATTTTTTTTTTATTCTTGTTGGCTTTGATTTGAATTTAATACTTTTTATGTCTTTCTTTCGAGATTTCCCTATTCTTTGACGATAGTATCTCCCTTATATATATATTTTGTTAGATTTGTTTATAAACTTGATAATTTCTATCAATATAGAAATCAAGAACATAACTTTAAATAAAACAATTAAATTCACACTCGAATACAATTATGAGAATAAAAGCGGAAACGTACATGAATTTACTATTGAGAATCATCGAACGTTTGCAGGTATTTGATCTTCTGATTTGTAGAGTTCTTTATGGCTCCTTGAATCTCTTCTGACGAGGATGAAGAAAGAATTCCTGATAAGCCATTTTGCGTTGTCTTTAAATGGGGATCATAATCTCTATAAATAACCTTAGAGTTATTTCTTAGTTTTTAATATTCTAATTTTACCCCTCATCAAATTAGATATTGACTCATGGTATTTATACAATAACCTAACCTTTCATGAGATTTATAGTTTTAGCCACAAGACCTATTATTAATTTGACCACTATAACTTTGGCTAATTATATAACGGCCCTAACATATGTAATATTACATTTGTGACCCAAAAATTCTAACAATCTCCCACTAGTCACATATGTAATTATACACATGTGTTTGACTTTATGAGCTCAAAATTCGCCATTATATTCCTTAATCATATCCAAATTATCTCATTCATTAGTCATGCCAATATATAGAATCAATGTGATTTTCGTTATATCAATCATAACTAAATCCATCAATGATCACCAATAGTGAAACAACTAAATGACATATATGCATCATGAAATATGCAGCATGAAAATCACATGAAGTTGGTCTGTATATGTCAATTTTCAACTGATCCTACTTTATTCAAGTGAGATCATTCAATAACTTTATTGTACAAAATATAAACTGCTGAATACCAGACTTTATTAATTTGGAAAAATATCCAAAATTATAGTATGCATGCATAATACCAAAACACGGTACATAAAATTCATAATCGACTAACTCCCACTAAACCAAAGACTCCTCTAAAGGTATAACACCCATGCGAGCAGTATGATCATGAAAGACCTTAGATGGAAGACTTTTTGTAAAAGGATCTGCTATCATGGAGTTTGTCTCCAAGTGATATATGGAAATCTGTCCACTTTGTACCTTTTCCTTAACAGCTAGGAACTTGATGTAAATATGTTTTGACTTGGTCGAGCTTATATTCTTTTTGGAATACAGGACAACTGATTTATTGTCACAGTATAACTTTAGTGGTCTTTCGATTCCTTCCATAAATCGCAGCCAAGTGACAAGAGTCCTCAGCCAAATCCCATGGTTGAATGCCTGATAGCAATCTATAAACTCTGCTGTCAAGATGGATGAAGCCGTAAGAGTTTGCTTGACACTGCACCAAGAAACTGTACCATCAACGAAGATGTAGATATAGCCTGAAGTTGATCTTTTACTTTCTTGGCATCTAGCAAAATGTGAATCAGAGTATCCAGTGATCTGTAATTGGTCTTACATTCTATATGTGAGCATATAGTCTTTTGTTCTCTTTAAATATCTTATAACCTTTTGTCTACATTCCAATGATTCATTCTTGGAATGCTCAAATATCTGCCTAGTGTCTATTGAGGAATATCGTCTTGACACATATTTGGTGGATTTCCATATCATAATGTGCAACAAGAGCCATGATTATCCTAAAAGAGTCTTTCGATAAAACCGCAGAGAAGTTCTCTTTATCATAAGACGAGCTTTATACATTTCCATATTACCGCTACAACTCCATTTGATCTTAAAAATCCATTTGCAACCAATGAGTTTCACACCTTCTGGTAATGGAATAAGTTCCCAAACTTTATTATCTTGCATGGACTTATACTTCTCCTTCGTTGCTTCAATCCACTTACCATTTTTTCCCTCATGTTTTTGAAGAAAGACTATGTAATCATCTGGAATAACATTTCTCCTTTCTCTGATGGATCTCCGTAAAGGTATTGATTCTTGTAACACTTGTTATTGAGGATTTTGAATTTGTTCTTCATGAATTACCAAATCATATTGAGTAGGAGGAAAATCAACAATGTCTTATGGAGGTTCCATATTTACTTAATCAAAAGCAACTGTATGAAACAGTTCTGGAATTGTTACCGATTCTTCCTCTAAGACAAAGTCTATAACCTTATTCTTCCCCTCAAACTCAATATCCTCAAAGAATGTGGATGATCCCATCTCAAAATTTAATTTAATTTGGGATCATAAAATTTGTAGCCCCTAGATCTTTCAGAATAACCAATAAAGTAGTTGCTCACTATTCGGGAGTCAAATTCTTTTCATTTGGCCTATAATGACTTGCCTCAACTGGATATCCCCACACATGAAAAATTTTTAGACTAGGCTTCGCCCAATCTAAAGTTCATAAGGTGTTTAGGAAGCTGCTTTTGTTGGTACTCTATTTAGAATGTAAGATGTAGTCTTTAGCGTCTCTCCTCATTGTGACTCTAGCAAGGTAGAATGACAAATTATACTCCTTACCATATCTTTAAGAGCCTGGTTTCGTATTTCAGCAACATCATTCATGCTAGGTGATCCTGGTATGATGTACTGTGAGACGATTCCACATTCAAGAATTCGCCATAGGAAGCTATTGTATCAAGCAAACATAGATTATCATGACTTATAAGTGAATCAGTTCTAAAAGTATTTAAATTAAAATACAACATAAACAAATTATTCCCAAATGAACACAAATAATCTGATTTGTCCAAATAAGAAAATGAAATTAATTCCGTCTAAATGGCGGCACAACAAAAATGTCTTTTAAATCCAAATAAAAATCCAGTACGTGATAATAATCTAAAATGCCCTAGATGTATCTTTCAATATCATTTGATTTCTGGTAGTTCAGGAAACCCTTTCTTTGCACACCAAGTGTGATATTTAAGACATTTATTCTTCACATGTCCAGGCGATTTGTCAAAAAAAAAACAATTATCATCATGTTTTTACTTCTTTTGTGCTGGAACAATTGCAACTTCATTCTCGAGCTCATAAGTTTTCTTTCTTTTTCCATTGTCTATAGAGGTTCTAACAAAATGAGCACTTTCAGTCTTATCTTATTTCATCATTTCCTCTTCTTGCATACAAAATAAAATAAACTCATTAAGAGACCATTTCTCCTTCTGATAGTTATAAGATATCTTAAATTGACTAAGCTGTGAAGGAAGAGAAAGTAATACTAAATGAATGAGCAAGTCTTCAGACAACTCAAGCTTTAGTGCCTTAATTTTTGAAACAATGTTTGACATGCTCATAATGCATTCCCTTATATTTCCTTTGCCCTGATACTTCATGGAAATCAAGTTCTGAAGAAGAGTACTTGTTTCCGCCTTATCGCTTTTCTTAAAGCGCTTTTCAATCTCAGCAAGGGAATCTTTTGCATTAGTTATATCTTCTGATATAGTACCTCTAAAGACCTCAAGAATGCTCCGCTTAATGATCACGAGACACATGCGATTGGAGTGATCTCACTTCTCATAATTTTTCCTCTATTCAGAGGTAGTAGATTCCGTAAGAGAATCATGTTGTTCCTTCCTTAATGCAAGGTCGAAATCCATGCAGGCAAAAATAATTTTCATGTTCTCATTCAATTCCTTAAGATTTGTCCCATTAAAGACCCAAACTTTATTCTTATTTGCAGATATCGTAGCAATTGTAGCTTAAAATAGAACAAAAACAAATACAATAAATATACTCATATAGAAGAAAAACTGAATAATCAATATTGTTCAAATAATGACATAACTCATCTCAAGATACACAGTTCCCCATTAATATCAAGTCTTTGGACAGTAATATTGACTGCTAGTGATACTCTTGTTGTAATGATCCAACAATGATAATAAAACATGTCAAATAATAAACCCCTCTTTGAATTGATTTATCATTTACATGTGAAACCTTATAATTATTGCCTGTTAACCATCACATGTGTGCATGAAATCCAGCCAAATATAAATTATCATTCGAATCAATTGATACTCACATTGAAAAACACATACACATAAAAGAAAAAACATTTAACATTTCTTATAAACAGTCTACAAAAACAAAGATCATTTTTGCGACATTTTATTTTAATTAAGTCACTCAAAATATTAAACTTTGTATAAAATACAAACCATAGACATATTTGAACAAAAAATTATACCAAAATTAACCGATGAAACACATAAGAAGCACGACCATGCAAACAGAAACGACACATCCGTGTTCCAATCCATGTCTTCAATGTAATACGAAGCACAACAAAATACAGCAATTCCAAATTATAAAAAACGCCAAAAAAACTTGACATTAAACCACATATTATTAATTTAATTAGAAAAAAATTGCTATTAGGCTGAAATTGTGCTGTTTTGATTCTCAGTATTAACCGAAATTATGTATATCAATTATCAATTGATTCACACACTGTTTATTTTATGTAAAATAATAATTTAGTGTGAATATGGACACATACTATTTAATTGTTTCAACCGCAATTCTACAATCACTTTCAACCTGAATTCTTTTATAACTGGGCCATCTCTTGTCTATATATATTTATTTGTTTGTTTGTTTGTCTTTGAAGAAAAATGTACACAACCTTTACTTTTGATTCCTATAACATGCTAAAAC